GACATCAAAAATAAGAGACCCAGTCTACTCTTAAGTCTAATTTAGACCCAAGTTATAAATCTAGTCTCTTTGCATTAAAAACAATTTTGTTACTTTTATATTTTTTTGTCCATGTCATACAAGACTTAAGTCTATTTACATGTCACATAAGCAAAGTTAGACTCAAAGCATTGCAGATGCTCTTAACTCATGTTTGCTTTCTAAGATAAGGCAGGATGTCCCACCTTATCCTGCCTTAATCCCATGTTTGGTTGTTAGGATACGGTCTTCGATAGATTGCTTGGCCCGGGAATAAAATTGTTTTTTTCCCATGACAGTGGGATAAGTCCATCCCCCTTTTGGTGGGATTAGGATAATCCCACAGGTTTAAATTATTCTCCAATCCAATCCCACCAAACAAACATGGGCTTAGGGTATTTGTTTTTTGTGTCCAACAAAATTTTAAGAGGATGCTAGATAATACTTTTCAAAACAATCCAAACCTCTCTAGCTCAGCCACTTTTATCACTTTTTTTTAAGTCAATTTTAACTTAGCGCAATTATCATCAATATTATAAATATATTTAAATAATATTAACAAACATTCTTACACACCACATCAACTTTAATTCATTATTCATCTACCCACATAATTTAATTAACTATCACTTCAAATTATCTTTATTTTCTCTTGCTTTTACATAAATCAAACTTTAATTATTTTATTTTAAATGTTAGTTTAATATACTCACTAACAATTAATAATACCATTTTTTTTAAACTTAACCAAATCAAACCAAAAAATCTAAATAAATTCAAAAAAATTTATATTTGAGATTTTTTAAGATTTTCGTATTTTGAAGGAATATGTGACACCCCACTTTGATTTTAAAAATTAATCCATGGTTTATCCAAAATCGTAGTTAAATTTTCGAAATTCATTTTTCGACTTAAAACTTTTAATGGTGCTACTCAATCATTTCATAAAACTAACGGGGATTCATTGCCCGAATTTTCGTAAAGGATATTATTATCCAATTTCATACACATTTCACCATATCAATAATCATCACAAAGGTATCATCACCCACATATGAAACAAACCTATCATCAGGTTAAAAAATCATAATTATAAAACACTCATCGGGTTTTGCCAAAAACATTCGTCAATCCGACGTATCATCACGTCTATCCAATAAAACATCAATGTCATACAGTCATCAAAACATTTCAATGTCAAGAGTTCATAATAAAAGCGAAAGCAATCATAAAGGGGTCAATGTCATCACATGACCGACCACCACTCGTCATCGCCCGTCGTACTAGCCACCTTCTCAAACTGAAATGGGTGGGGGGGGAGACATGGGAGTGAGCACAACCATTTGCTCACTACTATGTACATAAATAACATATACAAACATATAGATATGGTCGCAACATGAACACGATTCAATCATATATCCCATCTCCTAATCATCATAATACTCATGTCCGCATCTATCATTAGCTACTAATGGTCCTTTCGAAGGCCTCGCCATGGGTCTCTGATGTAGAATAATATTAGTATTATTATTATTATTATTGCTATTATTGTTATTTTAGTATTAATATGTAGTAGCTTTCTTGGTGATTAAGTTAGGTTTAAGATTATGGATTATATAAAGGACTACCTCTAGTTTATGTTACTCAGTTGATTATTGAAATGAAATAAGATTAGATATTGTGAGTTTTGCGTGTTTTACGAGAGAGTGTTTCGTTTACTCGTTTATGCTAACCACTCGTACGCTTCCGTTTCATCAGTTGGTATCAGCAGTTAGTACGTTTCGAGTGTTAGAGTAGTATACCCAGAGTTCCAATTTGATTGGACGTATTCTACTTGTAAATACGATCTATTGGAATTATATTATTAATAAGGCATTTCTTTATCTTAAGAGAAAGCATTTATCCTATAATTGCACTTAAGATAAAATCCCTAGATCACTTATGGTTATAAGATATGGTTGCGCATAGAGATGGTAATCATGGAACATATCTTGAAAGCCGTGATCTTAAATAAAGTTCCAATTCGATGGATGTTTCGAGATGGGATATCGAATAATCCATAAAAGAATTGCACATAGTATGTATGCTTGTTTGGACAAGAATGTTGCATTCCATCAACATTAGCGTGGGACGCAAGTACATATATGTGGGTGCTTGTTAGAGAACAAGTTCACTGAACATGACCATATGAAAATACTTAATGAAAGAATTGTCTTGTTGAATAAGTATTTTCATGTTACAATAGTACATGATTGATCCTTAGACTTGAGGCACAATGGTAACTTTGTGCATATTACATTATACTTTGATTTATCCTTTTGGTTGCTAGCACAATCGTATAAAGGGATATTTTGGGTATTATGTTAATATGTATGGAAGTTTGTTAGTGGCCAACAAAGGATTCGACACTTATGAAGATAAGTGAATTTCCTATGTATTTCATAGTTAGTAATTCAAAGTCCTTGGCCAAGGCGGGATGAATGGAGATTCATACACGAATTACTAAACATGAAATAGAATCATAGTTATTAAATCAATTTGGGTTTCGACTAAAATCATACCCAAGATTTAATCGGGAAATTGGATGTCGAAAGGATTTTACATGTATGTAATTGTAATCGAAATAGGTTTACTCGCTATTCACTTAATACTAGATTCATGCTACTTGCTAGGTGTTCCCATGATATGTGGGTTCATGAATTAAGGGGTTAATTCATGAATAAGAGTTAATAAAGATTAACTCAAATTACAAAGAGTTGTAAACCCACTACTAGTATTAATTGTGAACCTAAAAGGTCACACCAATTTTTGAATGAAGGTAAAATTCAAATAGTAATTCTAAAGAGTTAGAATTAATTGACTAATCTAATTTGATTAGATGTCAATTTATAGAATATATTAAATTAATCAATTGGATTGATTAATTGAATTTTGGATATTAATTAAGTAA